GGTTTGGAAAATCTTGCCCGATATTCCAAATGCAGTGAAAACATCTGTATCAGCTGTTTGGATTGGCTGGTTCTTGTCTCACTCAGGTGTGGCACCGAGCGATTTGGATGCGTTTGTGAAGTTTGAATTCCATTACCCGAATGTGGTGAGTGTGTGTTCTGGCTCTTCTGTTTCTCAGTCTATGACCCTTACTACTGTATTAACTTGCGAGGGCTTCAAGGAAGGAGTGTCGGCTTTCTTCTAGAAAGGGAAAACACTTCTAGGCATGCTTTCTGATCTTTCTCTCTGCTCTATGAGAAATAAAACTGCTAAATCTCGGTTTCCTACAGATCTGAGCTCTGCTACACCTTTCCCTCTGTGTCCGCTTCAGACTTGCGTGTGCTCTGGTTGGCTGACAAGCTTACTGTCAAAGAGAATTCACAATGGCGGAGCTGTGCCCACCCTTGCTTCCTGGGGATACTAATCAGATGGTCTCTACTGCTTACAATATTTGAAATTTGTAAAAGTTCACTTCTTTCAGAGGTGCAAACTCACTGGTAACCTCAATCAAACATCAGAGCACGCAGGTTCAACAAGGGAGAGGGAGTACCTGAGATGCAGTCTCACTCCAAGTCCCATTTCTGAAATAAAACAAGCTTGAAGGCAGTATTTTGGGACACCTTTAATTATAGAAATAGATCAAAAGGGCTCAATTATCAAAATAGATCAAATAATCTCTCTTCTCAGATAAATGCACGTTGACTGCTGTGCATTTACTGCGTGTGTGCTGACTTAATTAGGAAATATGTGTCCATATGTGTCCATATCTGCAGAAAGGACTTAGGTCATGCAAGTTTCTTGACCTTACTAATTAATATGTCTGTGTTTTACACTGAATTCAAACTGTTTTATTCTTCATTGTGCTTCTGTTGTAAATGTATACTGAACCTTTTTGAGAGTCAGTGTTTTCAGTTATATATTGGGCTTCTCTCTTTTCATAGAGCTATTGTAGCTAATTGCTCCTTTCCTTGAAATTACCCACTCTCATCCTGCTCTCCTCACCTTGAAAAGTAGTTGCTGGTCAAAAAAATATGGAAACTAGAGCTAGAAGGGTCTCTAAAGAGGGCCATCTAGTCTGACCATCAGAAGTGCTGGGGCTTCTCCTGTTCTCTCCATAAGGCAAAAAATCTTGGCTCTTATGGGCTTAATGTTTATTCTGTGACAGTGCAGAGCCTAGATTTTACCTCCTAATGAATTTTGCAGCAATTCTACTGAGATAAGTTCAGTTAACCTGGGGGAAGTTGCTGAGGGACAGATTCAGTTTGTGTAACTCAAATCAAAGATTTGAGTTACCTGAGACTTCAGTGGGAGGAGTCACCCGCTAAGGGTGGCTGAAAACAGAATTGGTCTGTTTGAGTAATCTTCTGGGGTAAGAAGGAATCAGCCTGCTCTTATTCTACTTTTCTTTGTTTAAAAAAAAAGCCAGCTCTCTACTGCTTAGCCAACAGTCAAACACACCACCTTTCTCCTTCATAGCTGAAAACAGTTTTGCAAAGTAGCTGCAATAATTAGGTCACGTTGTCCTTGTTCGGTCCCCAGAGATTTAGTTCATACTCTGCTTTGGGTTAGAAGTTAATTCATTTTGGTGGCAGATTGATTGTCAGGCAAAATAATAGTAGGGCAATTCCCTGAATGATTATTGTGATGAATTCCTTGTGTAGCGCCACGAGCTTATTATTCCAATGAATGCAGAAGGAACAGAATTATTGTGCCATAGAACGTGCATAGTTTATCATGTAGTTTAACAGCAGCAGTCAGAAGCTTTATGATTGGATTGAATTGAGTGTGACCATGTAGCTTATCTGCGGCACTAGTATTTCGTTTAATGTTTTGGCTTATTCTTTATCTAGTGTTGTACTTATTACTGCAATGAAATCCAAATATTTTAATCTTTACTCTTGAATGACTCTTCTTATCATCCAGATAAACCCCCTAAACCTCATGTTTCTTGTATAGGTATAAACAAGAACTGGTAATAAAAATTGTTTCAGAATATGGAGTAGTAACCATATCTACCATGGTTTTATGTAATGTGTGTGTGTCTCTCTCTTAATAGGAGCAAGCTCAGAAGAGCAAAACTGCTGTAATTAAAAATACCAATTCTCCAGGTTAGTACCTCTTCTGGGACAGAGTGAAAAACATTGCACCTTAAGGAATTGCTGGAGAGTACAGGCTACTCTCATATTGTGTGCTGGGCTAGAGAACCATCCTTTCCTGCGCCCCCTATTTTTCTTTGTTGCAAAAGGGTTTGTTAGCGTGTGAAGCCTAGCTGTTGTGGAGTTTCTTCTCCCACATCCCGGGATTGGTAGCAGTTACTGTGTCATCGCTTAGTGAAATGATTGAGTTACCAATCGTGCTCCGACTGTTGCTTAGTTATGTTATCAGAACACCCTTTCCCAGTCATTCTAACCTTCCTGTGCTTCTTCCTTATTACTTCTTGTTTTGTGCCTTTTTCTTAGCCACAGACACTCTATTTAAAGTAAATTGCTGAAAGACCTAGATTATCCACTTTTGACTCTCCAGTAACTTGCTGTCAGCTCCTCAGGATGACGTATTTTTTCTTCAGTTTAGTTTCTGCCCTCGTGGAGTGGGGATGACAGAGATGAACTGTTGCACAGGGATGCTGATATTTAACTTATCAATGACTGAAATAACTTAACCTCCTGAGAAGGGACTATACAGGTGTCAAGTGTCTGTCTTAAATGGGCCAAACTGAGCTAGACAGAGGTCTAAGTGCATGCACGTAATAGAGCGCTGCACTTAGTGTGACTTTCACAGCTTGCTTTCATTTTTCTGTATCTTGACTAGAATATAATCAGTTGTTCAAGCTGAACATCAACCGAAATCATAGAGGTTTCCGACGAGTGATTCAGACCAAAGGAATTAAATTTGAAATATTTCATAAAGGGTAAGTCTACAGTTTGGGTCACTAAGTGCATGCACGTAATAGAGCGCTGCACTTAGTGTGACTTTCACAGCTTGCTTTCATTTTTCTGTATCTTGACTAGAATATAATCAGTTGTTCAAGCTGAACATCAACCGAAATCATAGAGGTTTCCGACGAGTGATTCAGACCAAAGGAATTAAATTTGAAATATTTCATAAAGGGTAAGTCTACAGTTTGGGTCATTCCCCCCCTTCCCCCCCCCCCCCCAATGTTTCAGTTGAAAAGTGTTTGTTGTAGCTGAAATTCATGGAGGACAAGCATATGATCTGCCTTAAATAGTTCTCATGCCTGAGAATTCATTTCAAAGTGTGCCCCCTACAGGAAAAAAAGCAGAAGTTCAGTGAAGCTGACTCATAACTGGAAGATTGGTTGCAGATTAATGCATTAAGAGGAATTGATGAGACTGAGAAAGTAATGATTCTCCTTCCGAATGTTTTTATTCTTGTCCAATCTGTTTATAATCTTCTGGACCAGAAGATTTAAATGTCATACAGGGTAACATTGTAGAATAATGAAATATGAGTGACAGCACAACATGAACAGCAGTAAAGCAGATGATAGATGATGGCAGAATTAGCGTTATGTTTTTGTACTCATCTTCATTCTGAGGATTTTACAATATTTACTAAGCATTGCTAGCAAACTGTTAGACTGTTGAGAGAAGTGTGAGAGAAACTCCCCTTTTCTCCGAGAGACAGACAGACGAGATGGGTGTTAACGATTTGTAATGTTCGGGGAAATGATCCTGCATCTGGGCTCATTACTGATTTATTCAGAAACTGAGTGGCCTAGATTTATTAATCCCACAGTTAATTGTGACCCATGACTTGGATGAGGTGTTAGATAACCTGTTTCTGCCTTGGTTGCTCTTTGTGCTGTTCATCGTTTCTGTTACTGGGACATGCAGAAATGATCCAAAGTTTCTCTGAGATGATTTTCAAGTTGTAGATGTTTTAACTTATGAGATAAAGCTCCATTGCTTTTACTGCAAATCTTGCATTTGTATCCCTGTTGAGAAAAACAGCTTATTTTCTTCCTCTTTCTTGATTAATCCCGACTGTTCTGCTGCTCTGTTGCTCAAGATTTAAACGTTAGAGATTCTGCCCATTTTGCGTAAATCTTTTAACAGTGTTTACGTTTGTTTAAAACCTTTTTCCCCGTCCTTTGTGTACCACTGCACATTTGAGACGTGTCCTGTCGTCATTGTGTCCTTACCAGTTGAATCTGCAAACGTTTTAAAGTTCTACTCAAGCTTAAGTTCACTGCTTGGGAAACATTTTCCAGTGAGTCATGAATTGTATGCCAACTCCAACTTGTCCTTTGAAGCCTTTCTGAAGATTAGCAAAAAAGTCTGAACAAAATATTTGGCTCTTCTGGCTCTGAGATTTGTTTGTTCTTAGAACAGGAATCTAACAAGTTAAGTATATGCTTGTTTACGGATGAGGGTGTGGACACATAGCAACAGGGAAGAAGGAAGAGAAGAAAAGCCAATCAATCACCTTTCCCTGGCAGTCTTCTCAGAACAAAATAAGGGCTGCCAGTCAGCATATAGGCAATGCTTATGTAAAGCAGGTAACAGAATTGCAGAACACATTTCCTGATGTGGTATGTGAGATCTGAGATAGCAGAAAGGCCCAGGTGTAACCCCCTCACAGTGATATTTCTACTATTTTCATGGTTTTTGCCCATTTCAGTTGCTTGCTTTGCACTGCTTAGCTGCAGCCCTTTAACCGAGGAGAAGAGAGAGGATGAAGTGATCCAGACTCTCTTCTGAAGACTGCCTGCTCCCTATCTTTCACTGAGACTGTGGAATGGATAATACAGCATCTCCAAGCGTTTCTGAAAGTAATTCTGAGGTCTTTGATAGCTCTTCACCCATCTCCCAAGAATTCTTTTCTCTCAGTGAGCAGAAGAGACCTGCTCCAGATCCAGCTTTATAGAGAAAGAGCACACAACATATAGTTACTTAATATATATTAAGCTTCTGTTGCCTTCAAAAAATACTTTTAAGTAAAAACCCATCAATGTACTTTTCCAAAAGTATTCTGTCATTAAACCTCCTAAAAATCTTCTAAAGATAAAAGGAGATTTCACCAGTGACATTTCTAAAACTATAGCCTAAGGCAAATTCACATTCTTCACTGTGATTCTGGGATGGCCCTGTCTTTGTTGGTTCTTGGATTAGATGGGAAAAAAAATGCAGCTGGAAAAATTACTGCTTCATTTAAAGGTTTATGAACAAAAGAAGAAAGTGTCCAACCTGCTGCAGTAGAATTCTGTAATCCTTCGTCCGGCTTAAGGTACTCTAGGTAAAGGAAGCATTGTAGTAGCATGTAAGGTAACGAAGTCTGTACTTCTCTAAATGATTTGGTCAGCCTACAGTAGTCTTGTTAATGGATAACAGAGTCTCTTCTCTGGGAGGTTTCCTGACAACGGAATTCATAGGCAGCATGTTTGGAGGCAGCACTATCGGCCCTTGATGTACTTGCTGCATTGTTTTTCTTTGCTACAGCTGTTTGTGCTGAGATGGACAAATTGACAAATGGGAAGCAATTGGAACAACTGAGCTGGACTCCTTCAAGTCCTTAACGCAACGAGGTTTCGGAGTAGATAAACTGCCTAACAGTGATTCACTGTACGTTCCAGCGCTTTCAGAGGAGCGGCCTGGCGATCTCTACCCCATCTAGAAGTAGCTGAGCTACCTACTGTGAGCTTGCTACAGCCTTGGCTGACAGTGCCAGATCCTTTTCCTTAATCTAAACAGGCTTAGGTGCTGTATGAGCCAAGGCCCTGATGCTGTTTCTGAACATGCAAGGCAGAAAGTGAGGTTAAAATCTGAGTGACAGATTCCTTATATTGTGGTTTGTGGTTTATGTGAACTGTCTGGAGAATATATGAATGAAGCAATCGCTGAGGCTGTGGATAAGTAGAAAAGAATGTATTCCTCTTCCAGTCAGAGATTTTAGACAATCAAACCCACTGATGATCACCTGGAAACTGTAGGCGCTGATATCAGTGTCACGTTTTAGAAAACAGCAGAGGCATCCATCAGGAAGTTGGAAGACACAAGTTTGTTTTCCCTGGAGAGTCTTCTGGGTCCGTTGCTGTCTGCACAGGACTGTTTCATGGGAGTGTATCCAAACTGAAGTGGCATAAACTTTTCATACCTTATCTGAGAAGGGTACCCAGTAATTTTTCTCATTCTGTTAATAATGAAGATACACCGGCAAACCTTGAAGCCATTTTTGGTGCGATCTCCTCTGCTGGTAATTATCAGACCTCTTTTGAATATAATTATTTCCTCTCAAGATCCTTAACTGAAAGGTATCTTGCAACAGAACCTACATCGAGAATTAAGTCTGGAAATGAAGAAAGAAGGTACTGGTGGTGTTGAAGTTATCCAGAAGTTGGTGAATGCTCTTCAGACATACTAAAAGACTTTCAGTAATGTCCATCACCAAGGCTCTGATGAATGAGGTGCATCAAGACAACACTGGATAAAATCAGGGCTCTTATAGGAGTTCTTAAATATTATTGAATCCTCAGATATAAGACAAACATTTCAGAAGGGTTGTTTTCATTGCATGTGCATTAATATATTGGTTACTCTTGCCACAGATTACCTGAACACAGGGATCCATAAAATATCTTTCCAATTTTCAGTGCAGACGTTAGGTCTCGCTTGATAGCACCTTGCTTTGTTTTTAGCCAACCAGATGATAAAGGTGGTGTGGACTTCCAGAAGCCCTTGCTGCATGCATTATGAGGCTTAAAATACAGCTCTTCAAATTAGCTTTCCCCAGTTTCCCGTGTTCCCCAGATCACTCCAGTCTTTTAATGGTGATATGAAGAAGGTGGATGTTTTGGGGTTTTCTTCTTTCTAAAGCCAAAATGGAATGGCATGAAAAAGGAAACCAGAATTCCTGGCAGGTTGCCTGTGTAGAACGTACCAGGCATGGCTGCTTGACCTTCCCTTCACAGGTTTTGTTACGTCCAGACTCTCTAGTTTTAATTGTTTCAATCACTCTCCCTTTGGAGAGTGATTTCAAGGAAATGCTTGGATTCAGGCAAAGAAATCCAACGCTCTGAGCTGAACACTTGTTAACTTCCATGGAATTAGTGTGTTTTAGTCTTTATTACTGCCTTGTGAAGGCCTTTATCTGGATAGGGGTCTCACAGCTGTTACCTGTCTCTGATTGTTAAGGTAAAGAGGGATGGTTTGCTGATAAAACCGCTAAACAGAAGCGATTATCGAGGAGAGAAGTCCAAAGTTGATTTCTTTTCTTTCCAAACAAAAATATTCTGTATTTAATTTCAGCAAAATAGACATTCTAAAATTATAGTTCTTTAGTACTAAAACTACTAGTATAAGGGTGAATCAAAGCAATAGCTGGAATGAAGCGTTCCTTCTTGTTGAAATTCAGTGTTTTGATATGTCAAAATGAAACAGAATAGTTCATTTGGCTTTCTCCTAATAAGAAGTTTGTCAAAACCAGCATGTGCCTGTGAATTGTTTGTTTTGGTGATATACACAACTTCACTGGGAAATTTTTCAGCCAGTTCTACTAAACATCCTTTGTAAAAGATCACTGTCTGTCCTGGGTATTAGGCCATTCCTCTCCTTCCTTATCACACTAAGGCTCTTCTCCTGTGCAGGGATGAAAGCTGCTGTTGTTCCTGGTGCTAGTCTAGGACTTGGACTGTTTTTCTTCACTACCCGTCTCATCTTTATTTTGGCTGTAAGAGGATGGTTAGAAAATGAGTACCTCTGTGTCTTGTCCTCATAATCTAGTTCAGTTCACCATTGGTTCGCCTCTTTCATCCAGGCTTTGAAGTTCTGGTAGGATGTCTTGACTAGACTTCCTGGGCATGATGATAGTTCAAGTAGCGATGACCTCTTGACTTTCTTTCTCTTTAATGTTCTAAAAACCTTGCCCTTTCCACTAAGGAAAATTTCTTTCAAACAGGTCCTTCTTCAGAAGTGATAAGCAGGTGGGGACAGCACACTTGAAACTGGACAAGCTGGAATCGGAATGTGAAGTCAGAGAGATCATTGAGGTATGTTTTCTGGGTGAGGTGTGTCCTACTAGGATGTAGTATTTGAACATGAAAGGATAGTGAATATTCGTCTCACTTGAATGTATGTATACAGAGATAATAGTTTTGTGTTGGATCAGTTTGCTAAAGAATGGGCTGTTTTTAATTGTGTAACCTACTGTGTGACTTTTAAGGGGATAAATTGATTCACTTCTGAACAGTGACTAAATAAGCTTTACACAAATTTGCGAGAGAAGTTGTGATATTTTCTCACAGTTATAGTCTTAATGTCAACAGGTATTTTCCAAAATAACTGTTTTAGCAGACGCTGTCGGCTCAATGCAGAAATCACTGGTTGTTAGCCTCCTCCTAGGAGATGAGGAGGGAGGCTGAGGTGGTCATCCTTTAAAATATGTTATGTAAATGATTTTGGTCAATGCTGTAGCTGTTCTCATTGGGGGTTTTTTTTGTTTTCTTCCTTTGATTTGGAACATCATCTCTACCATTTCAGATTTTTGCGAATAGAATCTGCAAGGGTAGTTTTTGATACATGGTACTCCTCTGACCGATGGCTCCTGCCAACTGCCTCTTCACATGCCCCGCTTCACCTCATCCCCCTTCTCAACAGGTGCCTGTACTGGTTAGAGCAATGCTAGCTTCCAGCTCTTTTAAACTTCGTAGAGAGGGACAGTGGGAATGGAAGTAGCAGCACTTCTTCCCTTTTTAAGAAATTCCTGGGGCCAGCCCAGAACAGGACTGTTTACAGCTGCACCAGCCAAGTTTGCTTTTAGATTTATTTATTTTTTTTAAACCTCTTTAAGGGGTTCCTGGAGAGGTTCTCCTCAGGCCACTCCAGAGTGACGAGATTAAGATGCATGCTTCTATGTCAGTAAAGTCTTTTTAGCTCTTTACGGTTTGTGGCAAGCTCATGGCTCCAGCACTGGCCGAGGCAAAGGCCTTGCATTCTCTATAAAGTGGTCTTCAGAACCGTTTTCAAAAATTTTGGCTGCTGAATCAGGCCTTCTTATTCTTACAGCAGCTAATCCTTGTTCTTTCAGCCTCTCTGAGTCTTATTCTAAGCATCCTCTCTGTACTATACACAAAGTAAAAAGACCAACTGTTCCCTTTGGAGCCACCTTTCCTAGAGCTGACGCTGGCTTTGAACACTTGCTGTAATGTACTGACTGTGCAAGGCATTTGCTCAGAAAGTAACAGCTCTCAGAAGAAAGAACGCTTGATGAGGGTCCTTCATCAGCCGTCCTGGGCTGTTATCTTCAATTAACATGAAAACCACATGTACCATGTGAAACTACCAAACTGGTAGTGTGGAGCCAGATCCTCTTGTCTTTGAGTGATGCACAGAAAACTGAATCCTTCCGCCAGGGGTGTTCATCATGCACTCTTTAAACATGGAGGTGGAGGGTCTTGCTTGCTGTGCTGTCCCGAACTGCAGGTGGGAAATCTGGACCCATATCCTATATCACCTTCAAGGATTGGGGCTGTCCCAATAGCTTGTTTGTCTTCCATATTGACAATAAGCACCTGATCTCAGCCTGCCAACCTGGACAGCATATAAGACCTTGACTGGAGGTACTCTGCTTCTTCGTGCTAGCAGGCTGGTGAACTTTGTCCCTCTGATTCTGAGAATCCCGTTTTTGGTAACATGAGAGAACGTCGTCATGACTCTGGTCACCCTGTCTTGGCTGTGACAGTTCTGGTGCGGGAACATGTTGGAGACTCAGTTCTGTACCCACCTGGTTAATGCTGTATCTTGCAGGAGGGGTGAGGTGGATGCTGGAGATCTCGCAGATCTAATCAACAGCAGAAAAAATCACCTGGCAAAGAGAACTGGATTTTCATCCTCATGTTGCTCTAAATATAGTTTCTGCTCGCCACATCTCGGTCTCAATTTTTCTGGACTGTGCTCAAGAAAAGGGGCTTCTCTGAGTGCAGTGGGTCTCTATTTTTAGGGCTCTGGCATTTACATTTCGGTTCCAAACTTTCTTAAATAACTAGTCAAATTATTTCCATGCAAGAGAAATAACGCTCTTGGAGTGGAACTTGCAACTAGTGTTTGGAACCCTGATTCATCTTTTGCATCCTTGAGGATGCTGTTGTGTCTTTCCATAATGATCTCAGTTCTTGTTGCTATTAACCTTTTAAGAGGGAGATTGAAGCCTAATGGCTGATCTTCCATATTGTTTGCAGGTACAGTTTAGTGTAGAACAATGCTTAATTCCTTTCTAAAATGGTCTCCAAGTTCCGCCTTAATCAGGGTATTAACTCATCTGTTTTCTTCTCTTAAACTTCACACCCGTTAAGAGTGAGGTTGTCTGCACATTCTCTGTATCAATATAGTTTTGTCAGGACCAGAAATTCAGATGATCCCCTAAAGTGTTTGTGTCAACAGCTGACCGATTAGAGGGTTAAGCAAAGACTGTCAGAGTGGATAGAGAACTGCCATAAGATCACTAAGTGGAGTCATCAGAAAGCCCTCAGGCTGCCTCACGGATGTGCTCAGGGGACCACTGTTCACGTCGGCAGAGCTGCCCCTTGGAGGCCATTCCTCCCTCAGAGGCCAACACTTGGGGCAAGTAGGCAGAGCCAACGCGGCCCCTGGTACAGCTGCCTTGTGCTGGCTCTGCGGATGATCTGCTCACGGTAACTGAATCTGCTGCTCCTCCCAGAACTGCAGCCACCAGTAGGTGATCTCGGTCATCCTTTAGTCACGCAGGATTTAAGTCAGTAGTTGGCTCAGGCGCTGCGGTTTGGTGTTACCTTTTTTGTGTGTGCTAACTGCTCTTCTTTTTTGTGGCTCTTTCAGATTTTTGATGGCAGAAAGCCCACTGGAGGGAAACTGGAGGTAAAAGTGAGACTCAGGGAGCCCCTCAGCGGTCAAGATCTTCAGACAATTACAGAAAACTGGCTGGTCCTTGAACATTAGTTCATATCTGAGGTATGAATATTGCTTCTGAAGATGATCTGGACAGAACTTGATAGGGCTACAGATAAACTCTGCATGAAATGATCTTGTGTTGACATTGACCTAATTATGTAGCTCAGGCTTTGGTACCATTCATCTTTTTTATTTCTGGTGGTGAGTTGACTTAATTTAAGAAATGAGGTTACAGAATCTCTGATTAATTTGTATATCAAAGATGCTATTTCACCATCACTTGAAATACAGGGAGAGCTTGTAGCATCACCTTTATTTAAGGTAATATTTAGAAAATAAGGTTGATAAGCCTTTTTCAGAAGGGAGGGTGTGTCCCTGCTACTTACTGTCTGCAAAAGACCTTTCATAGATAGCAAGGACTCTTCTTCCTCTGCCAGAAGCTAGAGATGTGTGTTTGTCTGTCCCATGAAATTCTGCTTGGCTTCATCTGAAAAGGAAACTAGAGGAAATCCGCTTTCCCCTGGATATTGAATACGGGCTATCTAAGGAACTGTGCCTGGTGGCCACTGGGTTAATGCTTCAGTACAGAAGAACAGCTGTGTGCTGTTATGTATACCTCAGTAGCTATGCATTAGAAGCAGAAGAAAGGTAGGCTTCCCCTTCCTGTCAGCGCCACCACTGTGGAAATTGCCTGGTTTTGGAGCTTGTCTTCCTTTCTCAAGCTTTGCCTTTTAGGTATCACAGAATTCCTCTTCTTTAAAAAAAACCACACAAACAAACAGACCTCTAACAGTTCTAGTCTCTTTTTTAAAGTGATCTACTGCATAAAGAAAACTACTGAAGAATACAAAGCGCTAGAAGTCCAGCTACCTGTGCAATCAGCTCTCTTTCTTGTATGTCTTACGGTAGCTTTTAATTACATGGTGGCGTACTCGTACTTCTCCAGGACTTTTGAACACATGCCAGAATTGCTGTTTCATGGGCTACTGTACATACTACTTTGTCTTTCAAGCAGTTGATTTTGCAAGCTAAACTTTCATTTAGTGCATTTTTTGTAAGTATATGTTGGTCTATCACTTTTAAGTGATGTGACTGACGTTCTTGCTACAGATTAGTCAAACACAGTCATTTTGATGTTCTGACACTTAGCTGGTCACTGCTCCCATAGTTTATGTTCATAAAACGCTGGAGAAAAGTGTCGCTCACTAAGGAGAGTCAGTTCTCCCTTCAGTGTACATTGAAATTGCCTGCAGTCACAGGGCTTTTTTGGCCCGAGTGTGACCTGGTTGATCCATTTTGAGCAGGTATTGTATTGTGGTAGCGTGTAAAGAGTCCTACTCTAGGACTGTGATGTTGCTACCTGAGCTGGTCACAAGCTACACAAGCTTTGTAACACCAGATGATGTGATATAAATACAAAGTTTCTAATAAGTAGTCTCATTTCCTTCTCTTGGGTTCCTGAGTCTGTGCTCCTTCTGCTGTAGCATATTGTTTTGCTTTGCTTTTATAAACTGCAGTTAAGCTGATATTCATCAGCTTCACAGGGACGTTACCTATTTGCCGTATTTTAACTTCCAAATTGTGTAAGATTTTGTAGATTGAGAGATCTTGTTTCCATACTTGAGTCTGAATTCGAAGCACTGACAGGGCTGTTTTGTCTAGTGATCCTTCCTCACAGTCAAGGATATCAGTAAGCTGCCAGTGAGCCTCATGGTTTCGTTGAGGGACATCTTATGTTGCTTTATGGCCACATCTGAGGTAGTAACTTGGCCTCATGCACTGACTGGGCACCTAAGCATTTCCAGTCGCTAGAGCTTACTAATCCTGCTCTACTGACTTTCTAGTGGACCATCGAGCAAATTAACATCAGCGTTTTATTTATAATGTGACCTTGAATTGTGAATACTTATTAAGTACTGCATCCAGTCATTTCTTCTTCTTTTTTTTTTTTTTTCTCTCCCCTCCCTACCCCCCTCCCCACCCCAGGAACACTAGAAGATGCGGGATGAACATTGTACGTAGAAAGATGCTGCTAGCTGCAAGCACCAAAGATGTTAAATGAATGCACTACTGAACCTAATGTCTATTTTGGTAACAGCCATAGTGCTTATTAATGACTTTTTAAGGCAAACGTAAGGCTCTGGAAATTTGCTACTGCAGGGGAACGTTATTAGTCTACACAAAATAGACAGAACTGCCTTAATGTGGGACTACTAACGTAGCACCAGGCTGAATGTTACATTAACTATGCATAGTGGTGTGTGAAAGGTTTAGCCCCTTAAAAATTCCCTGAGGCAGAGCAAAAGCTTTTGAGTCAAGTCACAGGTAAGACCTTGACAAGAATGCATTCCTTTAAGTGTACGAGCACCCAACATGGTACCGTGAACACAATCTGCTACTGCTTTTTTCTGTTCTCTCTTAGCAAGGCCTGTTTGTTTTTTCCTATCTGTTTCTTGGAACAGAGGAGAGAGCACTCAGTTCTCAAACACAAATCTAGCAGCAGTGCGTGTCCCCTGCTCTATGCATGCCATTGCAGCAAGGAGTTAAATGGGATATTGTCTTTAAGATGAGAATTCAAGACTTCTTAGCAGCAGGGGTTTAAGGATCTACATTTTTTTTTGTTCTGGCTACCAGTTGTTTGCCATGCTTGCTACACTGCTTTCCAGTGCAGCCCGGGTACTGTGCCTTCGGCCTTCCACATCACCCCCCACCCCCTCTTTTTTTTTTTTTTTTTTTTTTAATTTAAACAGGTTACTCTACACTGCTGCTTCGTAAATATTCATTATATTTTTACAAAAACAGGCTTTTACAGTTCTGCCAGGTGATGGGAAAAATAGCCACTCTTTATCATGTAGAAAACTGGATTATGACTATTTTCAGGAATGTATTTGATTGATTAGCAGCATACAAAAAATGGTACCAAATATGTTTGTGTTTTTAAATCTCTGTGCACTAACAAACAGAAATGACTGATCTCGAAGGAGGGGATGTGCTTGTACTTGGGGAGTCAGAGTGCTGCTGCAAGAGCTGTTTAGTTAGGGCAAGTTTGTAGACAGAAAAGGAGTCCAGACAATAAGGCAGCGCTGCCTCTGTCTTCCTGAGCGGATGAAGACAATACAGTATTTAGTTTTTAATTTCAATAAATTTAATATACAAAACTACATGTTGAAAATAAAAATATAATATGCAGTTTTTTTGCAGTGTTAACTAACTGAATTTTAAAAGTACAATTTTTTTTTCTAAAACAAGTACTCATTTCTTAACAACATGGTAATTAAGGTCATTTAAAAGGCTATGGTTGAAGCAGACATGTCAGTCACCAGTTGATAGTGTTTTGCACAAACATAATCCAAACCTAAATGACTTTTGGGGCAAAGGAAGAGAAGATTAAGATCTTTAACCTCTTTTACTGCATTATTAAGCATAACAATGCAACTAACGTAACTGGAAAGCTGCTGCTGTGGCCAAGCTAGAGTGCAGTCTCTAGAAGGAAGCTTTTACTGAGTTTATGGAATGCTCTTCCAGATACTGAATCTTGCCTACGCCACATGGTGCTGCACTTTGTCCTAAAGTGTGCATAAACAGTGTGCAGAAGGGAGTTTAAACGTAGCCTTAGCCCTGTTTCGTTGTGTGAAGTAGCTTAAGGTTTATCCAGCATGAAACGCTAAGCCACCTTTTCCCAGAGGCCAGAGGTAAGGTTTTACTTTAATGTATCCTTAAAAAGGAAAAGTGTTAACTACTGTGCTCCCTCTTTTTTTTTTTTTTTTGGCCAATTTTTGTTTCTGGAGTTGGACTCCAGATCTGTGGCCCTTCTCTCCAAACATTGTGTGGTGACAGCTGTAATTTGCTGTACTGGATTTGTAAGTTTTTTTTTTCTTTTTTTTCTTTTTTTTTAAGCAGTAGTCATTTATTCACAAATGCACTCTCTACATATACTGTGCTGCCCTTATGAAAAACACATTGCTACTTGTACAGTTACCTTTTTCTTTTGCCTGGCTACTGCTGTATATATTTGCTTGTTTAAAAAAAAAAAAAAACACAGTTTCAGTGCCACAGTAGCCTTGCAATTCTCTTTCTTTATATAGAAACAAAATAAGCCCCAGCACACCCAACAGGACTGATTGATTGCAAAGTAGGGACAACGCCAAGGGCTGAGCGCTACTTGCCTTTACCATAAATTAGCCCCTCCGTTTCCAAACTAATTTTCTGTTTCTGAAATGGCCACTGTGGGGGGGTGGGGGGGGAAACCTTTGCCCTCTTCCTGAGAGGGACATAAACAGCTGCTTTGCATGGTTAAGACTAAACAAACCCCTGCTCCTGCTTTCAGCTCTTTTCCTTGGTTAGCAGCTTTCCATAGAGACAACTTAATTTAATAAGAACGTGGAACCACATTTCCTCTGGCTGATTCTCAGTTCCAGCTTCATAATGTTGTGGCAGACGTGAGCAGCTGCTTCCTTCACAAATGCCATCTTAGGTGAGACCAAGAGCACTGGGCCAAGTGCAAGTTTTCAGCGCTGACCAGAAAGCCTTTTTCAGCAGAACATGCAAAAACGGCCACTCTATACTTTTATCACAGGTAAGCTTTTACATGGTGCTGCTAATATGAAGTGCAAGCTGTCTTGTATTACATGACACTAGCATTACACTACAGCATACAGCAAGGAGGAGACTTAAAGCTGCCCTGGGTGTTACTTTTCTTGAAAAAGCAGGATCTACTGGGGAAGAGGAAGGAGCTATAACTGCACTTGAGGGCTAATATTTCCTCTGCTTGTGACAGAAATCTGAAACTCATACAGATTTGATTTGTAAACAAAGTATAGAATAGCAGAGTTGTTCTAGGAGATTACAGCAATCTGCTGAGGTGACAAGTTTGTATAGTAAATAGAGGAAAAAAGTAAACTAACCTATTACATACACACAACTTGCAGTTTACGTAATACTGCTTTCAGAGAGATGCGTGCCCTTCTGCTCATTTTGACAAAGGTCTCTCATACAAACGTAGTTATGGCTAGGTAATCTTTCCACACATCTCTCTAGGGATACCCCAAATGTATTTCAACCAATAATCTGGTCAAAATAATGTAAACGTTACTTTTTAATGTCTACAGAATAACCACAAACGGCATTATGATGAGGTCAGAATGGAGGTCTTGATTGTTGTTTCTTACGTGTCCGTCTACAAACAGTACAAGATTGGAGTTTCATTTTTTATTTGCGCCCCAGTGATCTTTGCACCCGTTTGAGCATTTAGAGTACATGACTGTAAGTCTTTAAACATGAGCATTTTTTCTAAACAGTAACAGAAGTGTATTAGCTGCAAGGATAGCATAGCCATGTTGTAGTATAGAAGCTGCCCTGATCCTCTGTTTGTTGACAATGCATAGAAGATTTAGAATTATGGAACAACCGTCCCCCCCCCCCCCCTTCCCATTAATAGTGTTAACAAAAGCTTAATTTTTCCAGTTTTAAAGTGCAAATGATTCAGATACAACTGCTGCTGGAACAGGTCTGAACAGAAAATGAAGTCCTCTTATGAGATGTTTTCCAGAATATAAAAGATGAGCTCCATTATGACTGGCCCCTCACTCAACTGACATGCCCCTCCATGAATCACTGGCACTAAGGCACTGTCCAGGTCATTCATGTATTGAGAGGGCAGTGGCTGTCCATTACTCCCAGCTTGATAACCAACCTAAAAAATACAAAGTAAGAGTGGGTTTTAGGGCAAATAGGACACAAGGCTGCGGTTCAGTGGGCAGTAAGGGAAGTGACTTTGCTGTGCAGGAGGAAGAAGGGCTGGCTGAGTGCCAGCACTAGACCAGGACAGAGCAGGCACTAAAGTAGCTTCTCCAGTTGCAGCTGCCTAGACAAAAGCAGCCACTTTTTTTCCACTGCTTTCTCAAAGCAGATCGCTCAGCTAAGCGGGAACCACACCCTGCATGATCAGACTAAGGGGTACAGTAGTTAAATGCAGGTAGATACTAAAAATACTTCTGCTCCCAGGCAAAGCCTGTTAGCTTGCCAAGAGAGCCTTATCTCTGCTTGCAGCTTTTGCTGTAGAGTGTTTGGGGGGGGGGGGGGGGG